TACAATGTATCAAACACATTTATAACACAACTCTCTATCAGACTGTACAATGTATCAAACACATTTATAACACAACTCTCTATCAGACTGTACAATGTATCAAACACATTTATAACACAACTCTCTATCAGACTGTACAATGTATCAAACACATTTATAACACAACTCTCTATCAGACTGTACAATGTATCAAACACATTTATAACACAACTCTCTATCAGACTGTACAATGTATCAAACACATTTATAACACAACTCTCTATCAGACTGTACAATGTATCAAACACATTTATAACACAACTCTCTATCAGACTGTACAATGTATCCAACCCATGTTTAACACAGCTCTCTATCAGGCTGTACAATGTATCCAACCCATGTCTAACACAGTTCCGGATAAGTAGACGAATTTAGTACAATTTGTACAACTTCCGTTCACGAAGTATCGACACGTACACTAAAATTAGACACAACGTCACCATGACAATAAAATGACGTCACCAACGTCATGGCGGGTAAAAACAAGTTCATTAACAAAATGAGCCCACAAGACGCCCCCAAGACGCCCCCAGCGGGCACAATACAACACAATCTTCGTTTGGCCACAATTGCTACTGGACACCCGTAGTCAACATATGGCTGGCAGCTTCATCCAAAGGATGCGTGGAAGCTATCGAAAATGGGGGATCTCTTGTTTTACCGATCACTATGTAAATATGTGAAATGTGAAGTGAAAGAATCGGAAACAGAATCTAGATAAATCAACTTCAGGGCATCCATTGTGCACCAAATAATGTCCCACTTCTCATATTAACCGATACAGAGACTTTCTGGTGCAACAAAAAAACAACACATTTATTTTACAATTTTTGTTTTCACTTATTGAAATCTATCTTAAGAGTTATAATTTTTTATCTTAAAATTTTTAATTGTAGTTATTATTATTATTATCATTATTATTACTTGTTTTGTCTGTGTTTTTCCTTATCTTTTGATATAACTCACTTGAAAAAGAAACATGACCTGTGTGAAGGCTGACTTAGAGGAAGTTCACAAAGAAGCATGACCTGTGTGAAGGCTGACTTAGAGGAAGTTCACAAAGAAGCATGACCTGTGTGAAGGCTGACTTAGAGGAAGTTCACAAAAAAGTATGACCTGTTTTAAGGCTGACTTAGATGAAGTTCATAGAAAGCTTGACCTTGACCTGTGTGAAGGCTGACTTAGAGGAAGTTCACAAAGAAGCGTGATCTGTGTGAAGGCTGACTTAGAGGAAGTTCACAAAGAAGTATGACCTGTTTTAAGGCTGACTTAGATGAAGTTCATAGAAAGCTTGACCTTGACCTGTGTGAAGGCTGACTTAGATGAAGTTCATAGTAAGCTTTAACACGTGACCGGTGACAGGATTTAATATTTCTATAATGGCAACTTCAACCCCGCCCTAAAACAAACAGGTGTCCTCCCTGTTTCAGTCTGACACCTCCCCCCCCCCCGCGCCCCCCCTCCCCGTCCATGTATAAATAAACCCAATCATGTTGAGCGGGAAGCAGATTTTCGCCATCGTCACGGTAGTGACCGCACTAACCATTCTACTCTTCGATCTCATCACGGACCGAGTCCACCCACACGGCCACGTCACAGCCCTGCAACCCTTTCAGGTCGACGCTAGCAGCGGCTGGTCTGGGACGAATGCCAGCGAGACCATTGGCGAGACCATTGGCGTGACCATTGGCGAGACCATTGGTGAGACCACTGGCGAGACCATTGGCGAGGAGTCGGATTCTAATCCCGAAGTGCCAACGTTACATCAACAGTGCTTGCCGAGTCCTTACGTGTACTGCGTTGAAGACCATCCACAACTGGGATTGCAGGCGCAAACAGAACTTTTAAAATTTCAGGTGACATCCTCGAAGGAGAGTATTCTTGGAAGCACAACAATGATTTCTAAAAATAGCGCGGTTCCTAGCGACGCCAACTCTTCGACTTCCGATGACGTCATAAGGACCTTAGACACGTCATCAAACTGCACAGGGTCTCGCTTTTGTGGGAACGCAACCCGAAAAGCCCATGGTGCACTCGGGCGTCTCTGGAATAAAATCACTTCCGGCGCGCCCATCGTCATCAACCTGATCAACACCCCCGGGTGGCTCCGTGACACCCTCAACGTCGTCAGGACGTCTTCAAAGCACTGTGAGTTCCGAGAGGGCGCCGTCACTGAGACGACCGATGTGGTGCTCGCCATGGGCGCCCACCTTCTGAGCAGGAACAAACCCCGGCATCGCTGGGCCGGGCAGATCTACGTCATGTACGGCATAGAGGCACCCGTCCACTACAAGGGCATTCTGGCAAGCGGTGAGCATCAGACATTTCAAGCATTTCTAGTCTGGCCCTTGGCTCTTTCTTTACACATTTTTAAATATTTGTTACCCATTAGGCACCTTTTTTTCTTTACTCTTTGACTCCTCATCAATCTCTCTCTCTCTCTTTCCACTTTCTCTTTCTCTCTCTTTCTCTCTCTCACTCTCTCTCCCCTTTCTCTTTCTCTCTCTCTATCTCCACTTTCTCTTTCTCTCTCTCTCTATCTTTATCTTTCTTTCTTTCTCTCTCCATCGTTCTCTCCATTTATCTCTTTCTATCTCTTTCTCTCTCTATCTCTCTTTTCATTTCTCCCTCTTTCTATTTCTCTCGTTCTATTTCTCTATTTCTCTTTCTATTTTCTCTCTTCCTCTCTCTCACTGTCTCCCCCCCTCTCTCTCTCTCCCTCTATATATATATATATATATATATATATCTATCTCTCTCTCTCTCTATCTCTCATTCTCTCTCTCCCTCTCTTCCTTTCCCTTTCTAACACCTCTTCACACTCCCCTCTTCTATCTCTTTCTCTCTCTATCTCTCTTTTCATTTCTCCCTCTTTCTATTTCTCTCGTTCTATTTCTCTATTTCTCTTTCTATTTTCTCTCTTCCTCTCTCTCTCTGTCTCCCCCCCTCTCTCTCTCTCCCTCTATATATATATATATATATATATATATATATCTATCTCTCTCTCTCTCTATCTCTCATTCTCTCTCTCCCTCTCTTCCTTTACCTTGCTAACACCTCTTCAAACTCGCCTCACATTTTAAATTCCTTATTTAAACCTTACGTTTCTTTGAATATTTCACTCTTGAAAATTCCATCACTCTCTATCAGTCTTTTCTTACTCCCTTCCTTTTGCACTTGATTCTCCCCCCTTGCTATCCCTCCTCTTTGACTTTGCCACCCAAAAGTCCACCATCTGGACCTAACGAAACAATACAAACAAAAAGCCACCATCACACATGAAACATCAAAGTGTGAAGACTCCCGTTGTTACCCCCCCCCCCTCAGATACCTCTTCCTGGCGACGGTCCTTCAACATGACGGCCACCTACTTGACCACCTCGGACGTCTTCTGGCCCTACGGTAAACTGAGGTTTGAACCCATACCTCCCACTAAGAGGCCGAACTACAGTGAGTGTTTCCAACTATTTTTTGAGATCCCCAGTCACACTGTAATACATCGAGAGTATCTCCAGCTATTGTTTGAGACCCTCTGTCACACTGTAATAAATAAAGAGTGTTTCCAGCTATTGTTTGAGACCCCCCTGTCACACTGTATTGTAGCAAGAGTGTCTCCAGCTATTGTTTGAGACACCCCCCCCTGTCACAGTGTATTGTAGCAAGAATGTCTCCAGCTATTGTTTGAGACCCTCCCTGTCACACTGTATTGTAGCAAGAGTGTCTCCAGCTATTGTTTGAGACCCTCCCTGTCACACTGTATTGTAGCAAGAGTGTCTCCAGCTATTGTTTGAGACCCTCCCTGTCACACTGTAGTGTAGCAAGAGTGCTTGTGTATGCAATGAACCTGTCCAATCAACAATTCAACACTTGCTTTTATCACTAGTTTCATTCTAAGCAGTGCATTGTACTCTGCATGTTGTTGCGTCATCGCAACTCCGACAGGCGAGTTGGGCCACCTGTCATACTTTTGGACCACAGTTTGAGAAACGACGTGTTTAGAGAATCGTCTCCAACTGTTGTGGTGATGCCCTTTGTCGGTAGTGCCATCCGACCACAATGGAACCAAAGTAATGGAATGCATCACTTTTGAGACTGTGCACTGTCTTATGATGTTGCACTGTCTTATGATGGTGCACTGTCTTATGATGATGAACTGTCTTATGATGGTGCAATGTCAAATGATGGTGCACTTTCTTATGATGGTGCACTGTCTTATGATGATGAACTGTCTTATGATGGTGCAATGTCAAATGATGGTGCACTTTCTTATGATGGTGCACTGTCTTATGATGGTGCAATGTCAAATGATGGTGCACTGTCTTATGATGGTGCAATGTCAAATGATGGTGCACTGTCTTATGATGATGCAATGTCAAATGATGGTGCAATTTCTTATGATGGTGCACTGTCTTATGATGATGCACTGTCTTATGTTGGTACACTGTCTTATGTTGGTACACTGTCTTATGTTGGTACACTGTCTTATGTTGGTACACTGTCTTATGTTGGTACACTGTCTTATGTTGGTACACTGTCTTATGTTGGTACACTGTCTTATGTTGGTGCACTGTCTTATGTTGGTGCACTGTCTTATGTTGGTACACTGTCTTATGTTGGTGCACTGTCTTATGTTGGTGCACTGTCTTATGTTGGTACACTGTCTTATGTTGGTACACTGTCTTATGTTGGTGCACTGTCTTATGTTGGTACACTGTCTTATGTTGGTGCACTGTCTTATGGAGGAAATACAGAAAATTAGAAGGGATACTGTTAAATGGTTTTATTCTAAATAAATTATTGAATACAGCGTATCATTTTAATGTTAAAAGTTAATTGAATTATTCCTGTTACAATGAACATGGAATGTTACAATGCATTATGAATGTTACAGTGAACATGGAATGTTACAATGAATTATGAATGTTACCACGAATCAAAATAGCTTCATTTTACTACATCATTTCTCAGCGGATATCGCCAGAAGAAGAAACAAGATGGCGGTGTGGCTCGTCAGCCACTGTCACACACATTCTAAAAGGGAGAAGTACGTCAGAGCTATGCAGGTGGGTTTCACTTCGTGTCTTCCACGAGCAATATGTCATTCCTGTATTCAAAGTTCATTGCCCTAGAGCAAGGTCATTTCTATATTACAAGGTCATAACTTAGCTACGTCTTCAATACCAGAATAATAAATCAATTACATCATAAATGGATATCATTTATGAGTGTTTATTTAAATGAATAAACCAACAACTTGTAAGATGATTGTGTCTAACAACTTATTTTATGTCTCGTCATTTTCTTCCTGTTATCAATTTGTGTCTGTCCTTTTTCTGATCAACAGAAACACATTTCAGTTGACATCTATGGTCGCTGTGGTATGACGCCCAAGTGCTCCCTTGGCAACGGGACCGGATGCAGTACGGCGGCCATCCTGAGCGAGTACAAGTTCTACATCGCCTTCGAGAACAGCTTCTGCGCCGACTACGTCTCGGAGAAGTTCTTCAAGACCTACACAGGTGACAACCACGTGATCCCCGTCGTGAGGGGCGGGGCTAGGTACGACGAGCTCCTCCCCAACGACACCTTCGTCAACGCCGATAGGTTTACTAGCCCTAAAGAGCTCGCCCTGTATCTGAAGACCCTGGCAGCAGACCCGGTCTCCCACGGTCGGGTGTTGGAGAGGAAAGATCAGTACCGAGTCATGCCGAGCGCAAATGTCTTTCGGGATGTTTGCGAGGCTGTGGCCTCAGTGAACTTTGAACCCAAAACGTACGATATCAAACAGTGGATGGGCGAGCAGTGTGATACTGACCCGAGGACGGATGTGTGACCAGAAGTGGCCAGACACAACAAGTCAAATATGCCAGGAAATAATTTAGGAGGATTTCTTTTTAATCGTGATTGTGATTTACAGTGGCGGCGTCCATTGACAGGGATATAATGGAGTCCATTAACATGGATACAGTGGGATCCATTGACATGGATACAGTGGAGTTCATTGACATGGATAAAGTTGAATCCATTGACATGGATATAGTGGAGTCCAATGACATGAATACAGTGGAGTTCATTAAAATGAATGCAGTGGAGTCCCTTTACATGGATACAGTGGTGTTCATTGACATGGATGCAGTGGTGTTCATTGACATGGATACAGTGGAGTCCCTTTAAATTGATACAGTGGTGTTCATTGACATGGATACAGTGGTGTTCATTGACAAGGATACAGTGGTGTTCATTGACATGGATACAGTGGAAGCACAAGAGTTTGTGCCATCTCATCCGGCTCGTAGGTTCCCCCACCCCACACCCTGCACAGAGAGGATGTCAGTGAGATGTTACTTTACACGCTGCACAGAGAGGATGTCAGTGAGATGTTACTTTACACGCTGCACAGAGAGGATGTCAGTGAGATGTTACTTTACACGCTGCACAGAGAGGATGTCAGTGAGATTTTGCCTGACACCCTTCCAAGGTGAACCTTCCCATGAATCCGCTTCTGTCAATCATCGAGGACAGCCCCCCCCCCCACCCCCGCCTGATAACGAAGCTGAGATCACAACATTATAAGAATAAAGAAGAATCTTATTGCCTCATTACCTCATTGAATCATTGCCTCATTACCTCATTGCCTCATTGCCTCATTGGTGCTGAGTTGTTTTTGTTGCTTTGTGTCATTGTTTCCCTCTTTCAATATAAAATAAACTAAAAAAAATGGCTGACCTATTTCAGGGCGGGGTGGACATAGCGTTCTGTGTGAGAAGATCCTTGACCTCCAGGCAAAGAGGCAAGACACTCGTGCTATACCGTAGGCAACGCTACCCCTCATGGCACTAGGCACGATCACAACAAACAACCCCTTGTATGAGTGTGAGAGTAGAATCTGTTTGGCCGGCTTAAGTCTCTTACATTCAAATGAAAAGTATGCGTCATCCTTAAATACACGTTAAGTCGTTTTTACACGTAGGTCAAGAGCTTAAGTCATTCCTTCACAGTCCTGTGTAGCCCCTAGAGATCTTGGCACGCAGAATAGATTGATATAACCTGATATGTATCATGTGTAGCAATTTAACATCATCTTATGACAGGGCAACGTCTAATGTTGCGTAGGAGTCTTAACTTCTCCACCGCTTTCCCTCCCCTGCCCCCTCTCCCCCCGCCTCCCCTCCCCCCCCCCCCCGGCCACTTTTCCCAAGACACGATTATATTCCACTCTACCAATTGGAGAGACGTGAAAAGTGAGGGTAAACAGAAAAGTGCCTAGTCTTAGGTTAGAAAGGCAGACATCCGTGGGACACTTGGTGGCGAGTGTGTCCTGGTGGTTTTGTTGTGAGTTTTGGTGCGTGCACGGTAACACGGTCCACTGAGTTGTCGAAACTTCTTGACCATGTGTGTTGCTTCACGCTCAGTGTGATATTGACCCGAGGAAGGTCAAACACACCCACCACCCTTCCCTCTCTCTCAAACCCCCCCCCCCGGGTCTTACATCGTTTCCGCTAGACTGACCCGCTCATTTCGTGGGGCACATGTGTACGTCAGAAAGTTCGCCCGCTCTGGCCTGTGTCCCAATTATGTGACTCTTGTGGCCGTCAATCATATGTTTAGATGTTTCAGTTTAGTGGATGCAATTTTCATGTTAATGGCTACTGTCGATGAAATGCAGCAGATTTTCATACTTATGGCATACTGTGGATATAATGGATCAACTTTTCATGTTTGTGGATACTTTGGATAAAACGCAACAAAAAAGCAACATGGCAACATTTCATGTTTCTGTGTGGTGTCATTGATTAAACGGATTCATCCATCCCATTGGATTAAAGGGATGCACTTTGTAAATTACGGATATTATGGTTGATTATTTCTGTACATTATCCATTAACGTGCTATTACAGTAGATACTACGGATCAACGCATACCATCCATTGGTTTGGATGAAAAAACAACTTTGTTTCGATATCCATCTTTATGGATACCAGCCATAATTTGGATAGTCCGACTTGACAATTCATGAGCACCAAACCCAATTTGGATCATCCCCTTGTGGTCCTCATCATTACTTTGGAAAGATACACTTTTCCAGTTCGTGGATAGCGGGCCTTTTCATACCCAAGGATTCTAGGAATACAAGACCTTGTTTGGTTCTAATCTCTTTCAGCAAAGTGACATCAACCGTTGATATGAAGCCAACCGTTGATGTGAAGCCAACCATTGATATGAAGCCAACCGTTGATTTGAAGCCAACCGTTGATATGAAGCCAACCATTGATGTGAACCCAACCGTTGATGTGAAGCCAACCGTTGATATGAAGCCAACCGTTGATGTGAAGCCAACCGTTGATGTGAAGCCAACCGTTGATGTGAAGCCAACCGTTGATGTGAAGCCAACCGTTGCTATGAAGCCAGCCGTTGATATGAAGCCAACCATTGATGTGAAGCCAACCATTTTAGGGTGGACCGCTGTTTCAGGTCAGTGTCCCAATATTTGTTTTCTACTAATTAGTACGATTTTAGGGAAACCATAACAATGCCTTTGATAACATGTGACAGGTATGTTATGGTCCAACTCTGTTACAATGTGGGTGGTCAGTTAAGTCTTGACTGACAGCATGTGATTCGCGATATTTAAGTGCGCGCAGTAGTGAAGGAAGAGGGAGGGAGGGGCTGGGCAGTCCACCCCGGGTGGGAGTTTTTTAATACATGGAGAGGTGGCATATTCGCCAACGGGTTTTTTTTTTTTTTTGGGGGGGGGGGGGGGGGGCAAAAATTATTGGCCATTCCCAGGATGGAACTAACCCTAGCTACGCCCCTGAGTTGTTTAGTTCAGTTTTCTGAATAGTTTTATGTCATGTTTATGATGTATCAATTTAAAATGACTTTTAAAAAAAATTTTCATCAATTTCTGGACTTACAAATACCCGGTTACGGTTGGAATCGTGAGATTTTAAATATTTGATACGTTGACTCGATACGGGTATTAAAACTAATTCACAATTTTAAATGTGTCAAATCTCGTCCGGTGAAGTTTTGCATCGTACTTCCGCCCACTTGCTTCCACGATATTTGATTTATGGATGGACTTGTCTCCGTGCTTTTTTCTTCCATTTCGTATATTTTCGAAATAGGTAAGATACTCTTTAATGAAGGCATTATTTGAAAAATCTCAAGTCTAGATTTTTATTTTGCTTTCTCATACAAAAGGAAGTCTTAGACTACCTAACTTTTAAAAAAAAAACTTTCGACTTTACTTTATTAATAATTATAACTTATATCAACTTATAACATTATTATTAATTAATAATTATTAACATTATTCATTATAATAATTTATGTTATCAGTATAACTGAATTATTACTATTACTTATTATTTTATTACTTATACTTTACTTAACTATCTATACTTATTCATATTATTCTTATTCAAAATTGGTTAGTATTTGTTTACGAAGTGGATGCGTACACCGCGGCGGTGTACCTAGCGAAACCATCGGCTTTGGCCTGCGTAAACCGCGGCGGTGTACCTAGTGAAATCGTGGGCTTTGGCCTGGGTACACCGCGGCAAAAAATGTACCATTGGCCTGGTTTTGAGATATACTTGTTGGAGAAGATCTTGTGTGGTCAAGTGGTAGAGTGGACGCTTGGCGTAATATAGTTTGAGATCAATTCTCAGTTAGGGATCGAGTTTTTTTCCTCCCATTTTAGTTTTAAAATATTTTGTAGCAATTGAAAAAATTTAAATATATGTTTAAATATTATATTAAATACACTTTATATATTTATTTATATATATAAGTGTTTCAACAAGTTGTGCCGGCCTTTGACTTTGAAAATACCGGTAACTTTAGTAATAAGACTTTAGACATTTGAAAACAAACTTAAAGTTTCTGAAAGCGCATGTAATACATGATGATCATGTATAACAGAAACATTATGAATACTAAGTGACTGATATTCTATTGTATTTCAACATTCTTCGTATAGTTGAATATTTACATTTTACTTTTACGAACAACCAAAGAAAATACCAGTATGAATAATATTCATGCATATGAATATTAATGTGCATGGTCGTATTTCAACCTTGAACCATCTTGCTTTCACTATGCCTTATGCATTTGCAAAATGTACATACGATATCAAAGGGTCATTCACAACACTCAGTCTCACAGCAAATCTTTTGAAAACACCTCGATTTTAGAAACTTGCGGAGCGGTAGCAAACTGTATAGCAAAGCCATAGGTCTGCGTTTACCCTTTTCATGACGTAATTTGTTTCCAGAATGGCATGGCATGTGCTATTCTCAGGGTAAAACACGACGTTTTCTCACAGAAACCATTGCACAATGCGCCTGGGACAGGATTTGCACTATGTCAAAGTTTTTGTATTTGTTGTTGTTTTTTTTAAAGAAATCGATCCTTGCCGGGGAGTGGGGGGTGGTGGTGAGTTATGGGCAGAGGCTTAACCAAAAAGAGGGCATTCACAAATCACGGCTCAGGATAGGGGTTGTCCACAAAGGACGTCCGCACAACCAACTTACCTTTTGCATCCCCTCTCCCTCTGCCTGCATTTTTTTTACTAATGTGTAATGCCAATGTAAAACTAAATCTATGATTTTTAATTAGTGTTAAAAGACTTTCAAATCACTGCACTGTTTCGTATTGATCATCTTACTGCTGTTTTGTGTTGACACATGCTTGGTGTCACAATGACAATGCCTCGGGCTACTTTAACTTCACGACTTCATGATCAATGTATGAGTATGTGATTCTCTTCCCGTAGTGTATTTGTGGCGTAATTATATCATGGTGCTAACAAAATAGATACACTGTCTTCCCATTCATTTTTACACCATGCCCCGAGGGATCACATACAATGTTATATTTATAAGCCCCCCCCCCCCCCAAAAAAAAAAAAAAAAAAAAAAAAAAAAACAAACCCAAAACAAAACAACTAACAACTGGGTGGGGGTGGGCATGAGAGAATAATTTCAAATTAAGATTCACAATCATATGATAAAACTTACAATTAATAAATATATTTGTATTTCAAGATATTGGGGGAGGGGGGAATAAAGTGGTTAACTTTAAAAATAAATCATGGTTTAACATTACACCCCCCCCAGCCCCTTCCCTTCCAAAAATAATAAGAAATGCTTTACATGCACTTTGCCACATACGCGTGGACCTTACTCAATATCTTCCCAAGGTAATAAACGAATTTTTAATAGTTTTCAGTTTTAACACGAGTATAACATTAAATCTACAAGTACCGGTTAGGCCAAAAAGTTAAAGACTCGCAAAGACCATAGTTTGGCTACTGTAAATCGCTGCGGTGTACGCAGGCCACAGACCATGATTTAGC